GTGGGGTCTGTAATGTGGATGACGGGTGGAGTGGGGTCCACAGTGTGGATGATGGGCGGAGTGGGGTTCACAGCGTGAATGATGGGCGGAGTGGGGTCCACAGTGTGATGATGGGCAGAGTGGGGTCCACAGTATGGATGACGGGCAGAGTGGGGTCCTCAATGTGATAATGGGAAGAATGGGGTCCACATTGTGGATGATGGGTGGAGTAGGGTCCACAGTGTGATGACGGGCAAAGTGGGGTCCACAATGTGGATGATGGGCAGAGTGGGGTTCTCAGTGTGATGACGGGCAGTGGGGTACTCAGTGTAAAACAAGCAAAGCAAAATACAAAGTGTGTATGATGTGCAGAGCGGTGTCCATATGGTATAGGAAGGAGAGAACATCACCTAAATGTTTCCCACTGCTCTTCCCAGGAGACATGAACATAAGTGAGTCCCTCCAGTACTTGTGAGAGTTGATCTGCATTGGCCTTTCCAACACTGCCTTCACGGAAGCCATTACCATGGAGTGCTTCCCTATAATGCTGCCTCTAGGGAGAGCTTCCAAAAGCAGAATGAATGAACTTTGGGAATCAGATGCCAGATATTGACAATTATATTAAACGCATTTGAAATTGTTAAATGCTGTGTTTCTCCTATAAAACAAGTACTACTGAGAGCAGAAGTGGAGCCACACTTCTGCCAAGTTGCAGGGTCAGGAGCTCTGCCACATGGAAATCTCACCTCTGCAGGAGGTGCACCAAGGAGGAGGCCCACAGCCGACCTGGGGGAGGTGACAGTGTGTCTCCTAGGCAGGCTTTTAGACCCTCACTTCTCCCTGCTTGTCTTCTTCAGAAGCTTGAGTCTCAGAGCCTGAAACGTATAGTTGACTCCAGAGTGCCAGGGCCTCACCGCGCCATCTCCCACGTCCTCTCCTCACATGGGTGGATGTCTGCATTGGCTAACCCAGCAAAAAGGGACAGATGCAGATGTGTGGGAATATCTGTATCATGTGGGCACTGCTCTGTCCCTCATACACCGAGGACAGGGGCTGCTATGGGCTCTTGGTGGGTTTGTTTCCTCGAGTGAATTGGATCAAGTCAGAGAGGGGGTGTGCTTGCAGAGCTGTGGTCCCCAGTTGAGGTTTGTATTCACAGAAAGACTTCCTACCTGGAGCAGGTGTGACCCTGGAGGTGCAGGCTAGGCAGGCAGTGTGGAGCTGGAAGGAAGTGCTGTAGGCCGCCCTGGGGCAGCCTAAGGAGAAAGGAGCACACCGCCTTGGGTGATTTGGGGGAAGTTTGTGCCTGGCAGCTTTCACTTGGCTCTGGGCACACTCCAGGAGGGCTCAGGCAAGGGCTGTGAACAGTTATCTAATGCAAGAGATCATACAGTCTGGAGGGATTTTGTTCTTATAACAGAAAAATTCAACAGAAACTTAAAGTCTGAGAAATGCTAGGTTGCAGTCAGAATCCCAGATGCAGTCTCTGCACCATAGAGGCCCTCCCCCTGGGTCTCTGGTCTCTGGGTGTCTGCCCTGTGAGCCCATGTGAGTGTGGAGGTACTCTAGCAGTCTCACCTGTGGGAGAGCCATTATTCCTATATTACTGAGGCAGAGGGCACACCCGTGTCCTGTAGCAGCAGTTGACATCTGGGTTTTATAATGGGGCAGCATGGTACCAGTCTTTATTAAGCTCCCATTGTGTGCAGGGCACTAAGACTGAATTAGACTGGGTTTAGTCGGAGTCAAGTTGCCCTCGATCTAGGATGCATGGATTTGTTGCCCAGATATTTATTTTTCACTTTACAGGTGCTGAGTTCCCTTGGTTACCACGTGGTCACCTTTGACTACAGAGGTGAGTTCTTTTGCAAGTGCGTGTCTGGGCCCTCCCAGTGCTCACTTCAGGGTCTGCTGTGCAGGCATCACCCTGAGAGGCTTAAACAGTGCTAGCAGCTTGTGGTGCCCCAACCTGTGGTGATGACAAATGTGGAAAGGTGGTGGAGGGACCGTGTGTGTCCTTCACACAGATGCAGGGCATCCTTCCTGAAGTTCCTCCGGTGCCTGGAACCCCAGCATATATCCTCTGTCAGCATTTTCAATGTAGAAAATACTGTCTTTTTTCTTCTTTATTGGATTCAGAACCCTCCAAAGCTGGTCAGCAGACACAGTTTATAGGCAGGAGAGCTTGTCTTACTGAAGTTCTGAAAGCAGGAAAAAGAACTCTTAGGAGAAGGTAGATTCTTCTTCTTGCCCCTTAATATATTTTCTTTCTTGAATGAATCAGGGGGCTTGCCCCTGAAGAGATTGAAAACCCACAGTTTGATGTGTGCACCTTAATGAGCCAGGAAAATACTTTGTGTTGACTGGGAGAAGTATAGGCCTCCTGTAGTCTCAACAGCAGAGGTCAGAAGTCAAAGGGCTGCTTGGCCAGCTTAGCCTGATCTTGTGGGGTTGGGCAGTGGTGTCGATACCCTCATGGCAAGGATATGGGGGTTGTGTTAGTTTCTTCTTGCTTCTGTAAAAAATTACCACAAACTTGATGTCTTGAAACAGCACAGAGTTATTATCTTGCAGTTCTGGAGGTCAAAAGTACAAAATCTTTAGCCACTGGGCTGAATACCAGGTGTTGGCAGGGCCGGTCCCTTTAGGAGGTTCTGGGAGAATCTGATTCCTTGCCTTTTCCAGTTTCTCGAAGCTGTCCTTGTTCTTTGATTCATGGCCTTTTGGGTCTGGTCACTCTGACCCTGTCTTTTGTCTTTCTCTCTCACTTGTTATATAGACCCTGGTGATTACTTTGTACCCATGTGGGTGAGCTGATAATTGCCCATCAGTTCACTGATCAGTGGCCTGAATTCTTTCTGCATCCTCAGTCCCCCTGCTTGCCCACATAATTTAACATATTCATAGGCTCCAGGGATGAGGACAGAGACCTCTGTGGGGGCTGTTATTCTGCCTAAAAAAGGGATGATTCTTTCACAGAAGAATGTTCCATCATGATGAAAATTCTGGGCTGGGAAAAACTGCAGATAAAGGATCTGGAAAGTAGTTTACCCACTTATCCTTTTCTCCATGCTAAAAAGGGTTTTCTGTTCTTGCTGAGTGCTGGAGAACTGAGGGTGATGAGAAGGGGTGGCCTTCATCCTTGTTCATCTCCCTGTGTTTCTACCAGGAAGTGAAATCCCTCATAGCACTTCTTCTTTCCAGTTCTCACTGAGTTTCTGCATTTCTAAGCCCACCCTCTGACTGTGTCTCCCTATCCTGGTCTCTGTCTGTCTGTGTCTCCACATTTCCCTGTCCTTGGGTCCCATCCTCCCATCCATGCCCTAAGCCTCTCAGTCTGGCATTATCTCCTGCGTAGTCCTTTCCCTAATCTGGCATTTGGGATGCCCAGGGGAGGTGGCATGTACACACGAACTGTGGGTTTTGCTTATGCAGCAGAACTGGCTTTTTCTGAGCCTTGTGGTGCTTTCAGATCATTTGATGATGACTCACTGCTGAGTTGTTGGAAATGACAGTGGCACTTGCCCTTTCCAAGAGCCCAGGGGGAGGGCCCTGGGGGAAGATACAGTCTGGGGGCACAGATGGTTAGCTTTCTTCTGCTATGCTAAGAGCCCCTTCCCTTTCTGGGTCAGAGTTGCCTTGAGCCTGGAATCCATCCCTCTCCCTCACGCCCTCGTCTGGCTTCCCACATCTGTCTTTAGCTGGGCTATAGGTGGCGTGGAGTCCAAACTGGGCCCAGGGACCCCCTGGGACGCTCTGTCCTACAGAGGCTCCTGGGTGGGCTGGGGTCTCACTGACCTTTCATCTTGGGCCAGCCACCAGCAAGCCCTAAGCATTGGGGAGGTTGCTGTCCTTTTTGCTCGCAGGAATCTGTGTCAGACTGCCCCCATCTACAGTTGTTCATCTGGACTAGGATGAGAGTGTGTGGATGGCTGTTTGGGTTCAGGGGTTGTAACTGGGGTTGTGAGGAAGTGGGAGAAGTAGGAGCAGGCTTGTCCAGACACCCTGCACATGGGGCTATAGTTTGTGGTACTTCCATTGCCCCAGACTGCCCTGGGCTGCCTGTTGAGAAAGAAAGGGATGAGCCTGCTCCTCAAGAGTTTCCACGAGCTGGGTTTAACTTCCTCCACTTGCTGCTCCTCTCCATCCAGGGTGGGGAGACTCAGTAGGAACGCCATCAGAGCGAGGCATGACGTATGACGCACTCCATGTTTTTGACTGGATCAAAGCAAGAAGTGGAGACAACCCTGTATATATTTGGGGTCATTCCCTAGGCACTGGGTGAGTTTGCAGCATGATAGAGCCTTGGGGGAACAGGTTTTCACAGGGCAACTTACTACCTGATCTCTCAAAGAGTGCCCTAGTGGCTTCTGGATCCGATGACACCCTTAGTCCCAGCAAGCCTTGTCCCTCATTCCCATGGTGGGGGCAGGGGATCAAGCACCACAGAAGACCATGAAGAGTTTGAGCTACTTTAACTCCTCAACCCAAGAAGTGACTTGAGACACACATGAGCAGTCGTGGGGTGGCCATCTCCCTCTGCAGGAAGGATGGGCACACTTGCCGTAAAAGTATGCCTCAGGGAGAGGTCTTCAGAGCAGAATGGGACAGGGCTGGAGTCCTGGATGCACTCGAGCTCTGCATCTCCTGGCTTTGGAGGGCAGGTGCTGGCTGGCAAGCCTGAGTGCCGGGGCTTTGATAGCATGCATTTAGCCTGTATTTGGCTTACCAGAGAACTTTGGGGAGGCAGCAGTGGGTGCTTTCCTTCCTACATCTGCCAAGACGAGAAGCAGTTTAATATTCCATTTGGGGCCGCCTGAACTGTTTCTGCTGATGTAAGGTCCAGAGTGTTTCTAAAAGGAGCACTGTGCTCAAGGCCCAGAGTCCCAAGACCTTCAGCAGCTGTCCCTTTTCCAACAGCCTTTCCTTTGGGTGCAGTGGCTGTGGCCCCCTTGTCCCCTTGCTTCTCACCTCAGACAGTGTGCTGCAGTTGGGTGGGTTCTATGGGCTGGGAAGTGCCGGGGAGAGTGAACCATGTGCCTGCAGACAGGAGCCTGGGCAGAGTGAGGAGCAGGCAGTCCTGCTGTGGCTGTCTGCATGGGACAGCAAGAGCCCTGGGGGCTCTCATCGCCATCCTTGTCAGAGGGTTTGGCTGATGGCAGGGGCAGCAAGGCCTACCACAGTCCTGGGGCATCTTTGTCCACACCCTCCCCCACCCCTGGAGCCCCACCAACCACTTCACAGATCCTACCTCTTCTCTGGCCACTTTCAAGACTAGAATAGTCTTGAAAACAATTTTTCCTTTAAACAGTCCTTTAAAACAATTTTTGTCATCATACAACTGAACTATTTCTTCCTCCCTTCTCAGAGTGGCAACAAACCTGGTGCGGCGCCTGTGTGAGCGAGGTAGGGGCTTGTGTGTCAGTGCGAGTCCTGGTTGTGTGGGCACAGCCTCCTCCTGGTCTTGGGGCCTGGGCAGGGCAGGCAACGTGTTTGAGAGGTTGGTGCTGGGACGAGCGGCACAGCAATAGCGTTTGGTGTCTTCTCGGAGTCCTGTGGGCTGGGCGTTGAGGCTGGGGTCTGGGCAGACCCTCAGCTGAACCAGGCCTGCCTTCCCCATGGATTCTCAAGTAGCTGGCAGAGTCTCCTCAGGGGTTGGGCTCCTGATACACAGTTCTAGGAGGTGTGGTTTGGGGAGCGAATCATGGTCACCCAAGTGTCCCCTGTGTGGGCCCCTTGCATGGGCACTTCCCCAGCACCAACCCTGCAGGCTGGCTGGGCGGGCACCTGGGGTCCATGGTCCAGTCCCTCCCATAGTTCCCCCATGGGGGCTTCTTGCCCACCTCAGAGCTCCCTATTTGTTTTATTTATCTAGAGACGCCTCCCGATGCTCTTATATTGGAATCTCCATTCACTAATATCCGTGAAGAAGCTAAGAGCCATCCGTTCTCAGTGGCAAGTACAGATATTATTAAAAATTGGCCTAGTTTCATTATTAAAATAATTACTATAAAGGAAACTTTTATGTAAATAAGTATAAAGTGAAAATAATGATAAAATATGATTTAAATATTCTAATGAATATAGATTTTATTAAAAATTAATCCTTGTTTAGTTTGGGGCACTGGCCTGACTACAGAGCTGTCCGGGAATGTTAAAACTCTACGGCCAGGGAGAAGGATGGGTTTACAGCTGGGTCATCTAAGGGCAGCAGGACCCCGAGGAGGCCTTGTTTCTGTGGCATGGTTTGCCTACCCGGCATCTTTGCCCCATGGGGTCCAGCCCGGGCTGGTAGCTGCTATCCTGGCTGCTTCCCCAGACATGGAGCTGGTGGGTGCACCTGCTCTCTGTCCACATGGATGGTGCTCAGCAAGCTGCCAGGCTCTCCCAGTCGAGTCTCCAGGTGATGCCCCAGGTAAATCCTACTGAGGATTCCAGAGTGAATCAGGCCCTCCTTACCTGTCAGGACCAAGGCCTTGGATCCTCTGGGGCTTCTCTGTGTCCTCTTCTGTCCCACTGCTTCTTGGCTGACCATGTGTTCTGGGGGGGGTTGGAGATGGTGGCTTACCACCTGACCTCATGCTGCTCTGTTGCAGACCAGAGGAGTCCTTTCTATAGTCTTACTTCTTTGATGTTGCTTTCGCCCAAGTTACATGAATCCCTGTTTTCCCAGGGTTGGAGGCCCTGATGTCTTGTGGGAAGTATGGTCTCTGAGCCAGTCCCAACTGCTGGTCTGAGGTGTGGGAGCCCATTTTGTGGGCAACCCCACTATGGCCAGTCCAGGGGCCCTTGTAGAAGGGAGTCTGTGGTCCAGGGACAAGGGTGGCAGGGCACCCCAGCACAGCTTTGGTGGGGCAACAGGTCAGCCAGCTCAGAAGCAGAGGAGACCCCTGGGCACTCAACACCCTTGACTTCTCCATGCTGTTTTAATTGATGCTTCTGCACGTTGTTTCCATGTCGCCTTCAGATATATCGATACTTCCCTGGGTTTGACTGGTTTTTCCTCGACCCCATTACAAGCAGTGGAATTAAATTTGCTAATGATGAAAAGTGAGTACTGTGGTAGAAAACCTCATTTTTGAATTTAGAAAAGCACCCCCAGGACTAGTCACTTTAATTAAATAGGATGGAATTCTGAATACTGGGGGTTCTTCTCTAACCATTTGACCTTCATAAAGGGCAGGTCAGGCTGACAGCTGCAACTTAGAGAAAGGGGATTTGAAGACTATGGCTTTAAAGCAATAGAAAGACAACATGCCCACATAGTTGTTTTATTTGTGAATAGTCCGCCAAAACCAGAACTTCTGACAGGTTCTAAAGCAGTAATAGTAACTGTTACTCAAAAAATGACTGCCTCACCCATTTGATTTATGTTTGGTTATAGAAAGATGTTACAAAGTTCATTATTAAAAATATTTCTAAGGGTAGGGTGCCTGGGTGGCTCAGTCGGTTAAGCGTCTGACTTCAGCTTATGTCATGATCTCATGGTTTGTGGGTTTGAGCCCCATGTCGGTCTCTGTTGCTGACAGCTCAGAGTCTGGAGCCTGCTTCAGATTCTGTATCTTCCTCTCTCTCTGCTCCTCCCCCACTCGCACTCTGTCTCCCTCTCTCTCAAAAATAAATAAAAAACATTAAAAAAAAATGTTTCTAAGGGTACCTGGGTGGCTCAGTCAGTTAAACATTCTTGGTTTCGGCTCAGGTCATGACCTCACGGTTGGTGAGATCAAGCCCCAAGTGGGCCTCTGTGCTGATAGCATGGAGCCTTCTTGGGATTCTCTCTCTCTCTTCCTCTCTCTGCCCCTTCCCTGCTTGCACTCTCTCTGTCTCTCTCTCAAAATAGTGAATAAACTTAAAAAAAAAAAGAATACTTGATTTAAAAAAATTTCTGTTAGGTCAACCAACAGTTAAAAATTCTAGTTAAGGATTCTTTCTTTGCACAATGTTCAGATTCTGTTGACGTTGTCTTTGTGATATCTTTATTTCATGGGTTTTAATCTCTTCAAAAAAAATTAAAAGGAAAGGATAAAAATTCTTATCTAAATGTTCAGTTAGCATTTAAAGTCTACACTTTGAAACAGAATGTGAAAAAATGGAATATTTTTCCCCTTAATTATGTGTTTTGGTTCTAAAAATAGAACAAACTAAAATTTGAGCAAACATAACCCCAAACCTGCTGGTTTGTAAATATTATTGTTTAGGAACTTAAAGAAGAGTTATCTGAATAAGCAAGATTGCTTCTAAAACCACAACAAGAAGCACCACAGTGAGTATTGGGTCCCACTCCCAGCTGAGCATTAGGGGGCCAGCACTACTTCACCTACTGGAAGTCAGGAGCCCCCACTTGGGCAGCTTGGTTGCCAAATACTTGCTAAGGTGACAGCATAGGAACTAGGCCTTTCCCAGAGCGGGCAGAGGTTAGGACATACTACTTATTGGGGAAATTCTGCAAAGATGAGCCATTCCACTATCACAGTGCGACCCACACACCAGAAATGCTCCTCCCTGGAAGCAGAACAGGGGGAGAGTGGGCATACGGGTGTGCCACTAGCAGAAGCGCAGACTTGCTATCTGGGCTCGGTGTTGGTGGGGCGTCAGGCCTCCTGGCTCAGGTTCTGCCAGGTGGCAGGCTTGCCCAGTGCTGCCCTCATGGAGCCCCCAGACCAGAATGCAACCACCAGGACCAGGTGGGTGCCATATCTACCAGCTCACCTGAGAGCTTAGTGAGGGGCCGCCAAGAGACTCCAGGGCCTATCCAGTCCCACAGCCCATCCATTATGTGGTTTATTGGAGGGTTTGAATTATGTGAACCTATTGAAAATGTTAATTTATTTGTAAACATTCAGGAGTACCTTAAATGTCCTTTTCAACAAAGACAAGTTAGAGGTTATGGACTTTTTTACCAACATATTGCTAGTAGCATTCATTTGCAATAAATTTCCTGGACCACCTAAGTTATTTGGTATGTAAATACTGTTTTGTAACTTGTTTAAGAAAGAGAGTGTGTGTGTTCATGTGCAAGTGGGGAGGTGGGGAGAGGATCTTAAGTAGGCTTCTGAGACCCTGAGATCATGACCTCAGCCAAAATCAAGAGTAGACACTCAACCGACCGAGCCACCCAGGTTTCCCTGTTTTGTAACTTTTAAAGAATATGTCTAGTGGCAAAAATAATTATTTTCAATTTTCAGAAAATACACAGGGAGGGGCCAGATTTGGTGAGTGAATCCATCTCTAGACTTGACTGAATAGATGTTGGTAGAGATATATGAGAAATCAACTTAGTTCTCTAGTGAAAAGCCCAGCAGAATTGTAGCTGTTGAACCACAGGCAGGGCTAGAGACTCCCAGGGTCCTGGTCTAGTGCCTTCTCCTCCCACAGTGTGAAGCACATCTCCTGCTCCCTGCTCATCCTGCATGCTGAGGACGACCCAGTTGTGCCCTTCCAGCTTGGCAGAAAGGTGGGTGTCAGGTGCTACCCCCGGTGTGGGCAGGCATCTAGCAGGCTCCCATTTGGGCCAGCTGGGCCTAGGCAGACGTGGAGGGAGTCCTGCTGCTGGCAGGTGCCCCTTGTGAGGAAGAGAACAGCAGGGGAGGTCAGCAGGATTGGGGTGGAGGCAAACAGTTGATGCCTTATCAGCAAAGGTAAGTTTGAGGGTGTGAAGGTCTTTACCAGCACATTTGGTGATGGCTAGAGGAGACCTGAGAAGTAAGCAGATGGCTCCCGGTCCCTGTGCAGAGGTCTTGGGGTGACAGGGACTTCACTACCTGGTATTCAGCAGGAGGACTCACTCGTTGTTGGCTGGAGGGAAAGAACTCTCAAGGAGGAGGATGTGGCCCCACCTTGGCTCCAACATGGGGGTCTCAGTCAGTAGACTTCATACAGACCTCTTGTCTGTTCTCTTGTTTTTGGGATTGGACTGATGACAGAAATGCCATGCCGTTGTGGGGCCTCCGTGTTTGCTTTTGCTGAGTTTGCTTTGCCTTTGCTGCCAGGAAGCAGCACTAGATGTGTAAGTGAGAGTGCTATGGGAGAGAGCACCACCTGGCATGGTGATGGTGAGGGACAGGGGCAGCCTAGAGGGAGTGAGGCCCGGGTGCCAGCAAGTTCCAGCAGGGCCAGGTCCCCTCCCTTCAGAGAGTGCAGGCACACAGGACTGCCCAGCAGCAGATACCCAGACCCACAGAGCTGAGCAGTCTCCAGGGTGGGAGGGATTGTGAGCCAACCTGCTGACTGACCTTGACCCTGGCACACAGTGAAGTCTGAGGTGGATGCCCAGCATCCTCCACCAGTGGGACTTCTCCGGGCACTCTGGCCAGCATACCATTGCACAGCAGGCAGCTCTTCCCATAATGTGGGCTCATCCGCCTTGCTGCCCCCTGAGGAAAGGCCATCTGGGAGATAGGCATGAGGACAGAGGGTCTCAAACGTCAGGCCGAGGAGCCGAGGCTGGGCTGGGCTCCTGCTAGCACCCCTTTCCCCGGGCCAGGCTGTGCAGGCTGCAGCAGTGCTATTTGCTGGGAGCTTGGGTTGCTCTTTGGAGGCAGCAGCCGCTCACTGGTCTCTATAGTGGGGAGACCACCAGGCAGGTTGCCCACAGGGCTTCCATCTGTGGGTGCTGACCCATCTCTTCCTCATCCCAGCTCTACAACATCGCTGCTCCATCTCGAAGCTTCCGAGACTTCAAAGTTCAGTTTATTCCCTTTCACTCAGACCTCGGCTACAGGCACAAGTATATCTACAAGAGCCCTGAGCTCCCGCGGATACTGAGGTGAGGAATTCTCCCCTCACCAGGAACTCGCCTGGGTGGTGACGGCTCAGGCCAGGCATGCAGCAGCCATAGCCTCTAAAGCTGCCTCATTGGGGCCAGGAGTCACTGTGATTCAAGAGCCTTTCATCTCCATGGAGAGGGGTTGAGTGTTTATCACCTCTCCCTTCTGGACCATTCCCATGATCAGACAGGGCAGTGATTTCCCTGTGGTATGGGCTTTGCGGCCTGCATGGACACCATGCTCAGGGGAGCATCCAGCATGTAGACATGCACCCCAGCCACTGCAGGTCAGGCCTCAGTCCCTTCCCACACACCCGTTAGGTCCTGCCCCTGTGCACACAGCACTTGGGAGACTCTGGGCTAGCTCTCAAAAGCTTATTTGTCCCCAGCTGCTTCTTGAAGGGAGGCTGTGCTCCTAGCTGCGTCATGATGGCCACTGTCCAGGGCCAGGACATGGGCTTTGGCCATGGGCAACCGTCTTGTGCCTGGGTGCAGAGCCCAAGCCTGAAGGGCAAGGCGGTGGCAAAGGGCAGTGTGGACTGGACACAGCCTGGCCCCACCCAGGAGCCCAGGCTTTTGTGCTGGGACCTATTCCATCACTCAGGTGCTGCCAAGCCTCCCTGCCTCCCACCTAAGGCGCAGGCAGCCTTCCACTTCCCGGCCCAGGTGCGAACTCACCTTCTTGGGGCAGCTGAGCATGGAAGTATTTGAATCAGCCATCTTGAATTTTATCCCATCACACTTCAGCTCTCTTGTGGCTGCCTTGGCAGGTCCAGAGGCAAAGCTGCATTTCTTTAGCAGTTTGCCATTTCCTGCATCATGGACCTGGGTTGCCAAGATGGGACTGTGAGCTGAGTGTGTGGGTTTGCTCTAGAGTTGTCATTTTCCCCAGCATAAAAGGAATATGATGCAGAAAATTTAGCTCAGAGTATAGCTCAGAGTTTAGAACAAAGAATAGTAGCCTGTTACCTGGTCTTCATCCTACAGGGTTGGGATTTGACCAAGCCAATGCCATTGGTGACCTGTTTGTTTAACTCGGGCTTTCTGAGTAGGGGTGGTCCTCCAGGCTCCTTCTCAGGTGGGCCCTTTGAGGATCATAGGGGGCAGGACCTCTAGTGTGGGCTCAGGGTTTGGCTGATGGTTGTCCTCACCTGGTCTAGGGAATTCCTGGGGAAGTCAGAACCTGGGCGCCAGCACTGAGTCTTGCTGCCTAAAGGAGCATGAAGACCTCTGCCCTCCTCTCCTTCGCTCTGGCAGCCTGGCACTCTGGAGCCCAGGGGGTGCCAGCATCTTCGATGCCCCTGGAGAGAGGACTCGGATGCCAGCTGGGGCAGGCAGAGGAGGCCCCGGCAGACCTGAGGCACCTGCCCCAGATGGCTGGGAGCACGGATCCTTGTGGAAAACACAGATTACAGGCATGTGATCCCCTCTCCCTCTTGTTGCCACTTAACCTGAGCTCTTGTTGGGAAGACAGTGACAGAGCAGGCCAGCCTCCAGCTGGTTGATCCCACACTTCCTGAGCTGGGCCTGGGGAGCCAAGTGCAGGAAGCATGGGGTATTGGGACCACGCTGAGCTTTCCAGCACCATTGGTGAGATTATGGGGAGATGGATTCATCTGTCCCTTCCTGGCACACACAGAATGGACTCTAATGGTTTGACTGGCCCCTCCCACCTGGAACACCCTGCTTGCCTACATAGGCCATCCCTCCCTCTTTGGGCGGGCCCCACCTCTCAGAGTGGGGGAGGTGCCCATGACCTGCACTTCCTCTGCTTTCTGCCCACCTGTCTGCCTAACCTGGCCTTAGACTGAGCATTTATTTAAGAATAAAATCATGGTGGTGGTCTGTTTGTTGTGTTCTCAGTGATGTTTCCAGCTGGCCCCAGGCCATGCTGAGAGCCAGCCACATGGGAGGAGGTGCAGCTCTATAAGGCTAGGGACCCTGGGCATTCCTTTTCTCCCTTCTTCCAGATGTGAATAGAGGTCAACTCAAGGAGTGGTGTTGTCTCAGGGAAAGGTGTATTCATGGGGTCACTGTTTCTCCAGATGAGTTAGATGGCATAAAATTTAGGCTCTCTTCAACCTCACACTTAGCAAGCTTGCTGGATGTTGGTATTGATCAGCAGGCTCTTGGGTTTCACCCACAGACCCCAAGCGAGCCCCTGGCAGGGGTCCATGAAAGAACTTGGGGTCCTGGAGTGCAGGGTTTCTAGTTCTGGCCCATGAGCACCACCTCAATTATTCACTGGGGGTGGCTCTTTTGGTATTCAGCTTTTTTGCCAAACCAGTCTCCCCTGCAGTTCTGCTGCCTCCACCTGGCACCCTCTAAAAATCCTGCTTCTCACCACTGGGTGCTGGTAAAGGGCCAGATTCTTACGTCTGGGCTCAGTAACCTGGGAATGAGAAGGTTCATGGCTTAAGAAGAAAGAAGGTTTCAAGCTGCCCCCACAGGGGACTGTCCTACCCCTGCTGTGCAAGTACAGAGGTGTGACCCAGACCAGAGGATGTAAACCCACCTGGGACCCGATTCTTCTGATGGTGGGACTTTCTCCTAGGTCCTAAGACTCTGGGACTGTATAGTCTTGGCAGCTGAAAAATTCCCTGGGGGGGAATGGAGGGCCTTGTTCACCAGTCTACCTGTTCTTCAAGGTCACAGGCCATTGTTAGCAGCTGTGGGCAGGCTAGGGGGCCCAGAGGTCAACACTCGTTATACCTCCTTAATGAAGCACCTTCAAGCTGCCTACAGTGATTCTCATGTTGGGGAAATCACACCTTTCTTAAATAGGTTGAAATGTGAACAGACTCCTAAAGTCAGTTTATGTCCGAATATTTATTTTCCTCTTATTGGATGGGTTCCCTGCTGACTCCTGGCATCTAATTTGGGTGTGAGCACTGCCTGCAAGACACCAACCCATCCCCAGGGTGCATGTTTTGCACCTATCAGAGCTGGGGCACATGGCCCCATCCCGTAGTGTCTTCCTGTGTAACTGCTCTGCGTATTGCGCTCATTGGACCTGACAGCCCTTCCTCAGACATGGCACCCTCTACTGGCTCTATCACGGAGGCCCTGAGACAGAGCCGCCTTTCCAGCCCACTTCCATCAGTGACACGATGTGACCTGCTGGCACGTGGTCTCAGACCCAGCCCACCTGGGTGAGCCAGTCTTCACCCTGTTTAACATTTTGTGTGTGTGAGCTGCCTCAGATCTTCATGGGGTGGGCTGGGGGATAGGATATGAAGTAAAATACAAGTGTTGGTATTTTGACAGGTGGACTGAAGAGGAGAAAGCACTAAAGAGGCAGTAAGCACTGGAGGGGCAGTTGCTGGGCCATTGGGTCAGCTAATCAGGTCCAAACACCCCCACCTGCTGGCTTCTATTAACTAAACCTATGATGGCCTAGGACAGATGTAACCACTGATGGTTACAAAACCAATCGTTGAAGAAAAAAAAAAAGATCAAGACATGCACAGCTGTAAATTTTTCAGTTAATACGCATGTCCTGGGGCACCTGGCTGGCTCCGTCGGTAGAGCATCCCACTCTTGATCCCAGGGCCATTGAGTTGAAGCCCTACATTGGGCAAGGAGCCTACTTAAAAAATATGCAGGGGGTGCCTGGGTGTCTCAGGTTGAGTGGCTCTTGATTTCAGTTCAGGTCATGATCTCACGATTCCTGGGATCGGCCCCAGAGTAGGGCTCTGCGCTAACAGAGTGGAGCCTACTTGGGATTCTCTCCCCCTCTCTGCCCCTCCCCTGCTCGTACTCTCTCTCAAAATAAACAAAAAAAAACTAAGCATGTCCCCAGACCCAAGACCACCCCAGCAGGGCCCATGGTGCCCCAGTGGCCTGCAGTTCTCAGGTTCTTTGTGTAACAACCCCAAGTTCATGTCTCTCCTGGACTTTGATTCAGCCTGCAGCTACACAATTTAGGGGGAAATGCTCTGGTTTTTTGGAGCATTCCACTTTTTAGGGCCAGGAGTGGGTGGCAGAAGACAGGTGCAAAAAGAACCAATGCAATTTGCACCCAAAATGCCAACACACAGATAACAGTTTATGAAGATTTGACGATTCGTGAGCTGGCAGTTCAGCACACATACTCTTAAGTCCCACTCACAGCTGGGATAGGAGAATGTGGTCTGTCCTTAATCCCACAGTGATGGGCTGTTACAGCGGAGGGTCTGAGGCCCACACTACCCAACTCCCACCCTGCTCTCAGCGCAGAATAAAACAGTTCAGGTCAACCAAGCACAGGCAGGAAGGTTTAATCATTTTCTCACACAAGGCAGTAACAGCAAGTGGCACAGTGATGGGTCCACATGTGGCCTAAGAAATGGGGCAGCAGAGGGTGTCATGGATTTAACCATAGCCTCGGAATGTGGGCCTCCCCACAAGACCTCTGCAGCTCTGGTGAAGTGTGCATGTGAGCAAATCCTCCATGGCCTGGTTCTGTGAGCAGTCAGGACCCAGGGTGAGGGCAGAGCCCTGTGCCACTGAGATCCAGCATGCAAGGAGGCAGAGCCTCGGGAAGGGTGCTTCCCACCCGTGTCTCCAATAAGCCTGCAGTGAAGCGTGCCAGGCTGCTTCCTGGCTCTCTCCTCTGGGCAGCTGAGAGGGGCTCACCCACCCTTACGGCCACCAGCCTACCATCCAGGCAGAGTGGAAAAGTGGGCTCCCTTCTGGGCCTGCTCAGTCCTTTTCCTAGACCACCTTGGTTGTACTGGTAGACAGGGAGGGAGACAGGAGACTAGTCTCATGTGTAAGACAGGAGACACAGCCCCCAGGACAGGGCAGGGGTACAAGGAGGGCATGGATCTGCAGCAGGGGCTGGGCTATCAGCCTTTCCAGCAAAGGCAATGACTCCATCCCAGGCCCCCAGGGCTGGGCCAACCCAGGACAAAATTTCAGAAGTACAATTTTTAGTTGCTAAAACGAGAAAAGGCTTCAGCTACTTTCATTTTCCTGTGAAGCTAATTTTTCTCTTGAAAAAGCAAAACCAAGCTAACTTTGCATCAGCCAGCCTTGTCCTAGCCCAAATCCCCGAAATGCCGGACACAGGTGTCCTCATCCATGTGATCCTCACTCATCCAGGGCCCCTTTATCTGATCAGTCTGGAAACTTGGGCCAGAGCACCTACATAGCAGTTGCAGACTTGGCTTGGAGTACTGGACCCTCCCAGCACAGCCAGGAGCACAGCTGGGCCAGGGAGGTCAGAAACCCACACCAGCTGGGTAGCCCATGTAGTGCAGAAACACATAGTTCCCCAGGCTTTGCCACAGCTACCTGCCCAGACCCCAGAATCCAAAAGCTCAAAACTAAAAACAAGCTCACTGCAAGGTGCATGCAAGGTCTCAGAGGAGCCCAGCAGGTGGCTCCACCTTCCCCACCTCCTTTGGGACAGGTGGGCTAAAGCTGCGGGGCCAGCTGCCCTGGTCAGTGCTGTGAGCCCCAATTTCCTGCAGAAAACTGGGAACATCTCATTCTTTACACCTTTCCTTCCTTTCCCACCCGAAGCCACCACCACGATCCCCATGGCCCTCCAGAAACAGCACTGAAACAGCAAGGCCACTGCCAGGGCTCCTAATCCTTGGGGAGATTGGGGGGTGGGATCTGCAGGTCAGAGGGCTCCACGCCCCAGATGTCCCGGGCATACTCTGTGATGGTCCGGTCACTGGAGAACTTGCCTGAGCAGGCAATGTTCCTGATGACCTTCTTGGTCCACTCCCTGGGGTTCTGCAGAGGGAAGGAGAGGCTGAGTAATCCTAGGCACCACATAAGACAACCTGCACTTCCAGAACTTCAGGACTGTTCCCAGATGAGCTCTTAGCCCCTGGGAAGCTTGATGAACAAAGAGGAAATTGCAATCAACAGCTCACTCAAATGGGGGGACCCACCAACCAGAAAAGCTACCAGATGATTAGATACAAGGGCAAGGAGTCTGAGAAGGTCCCGGACCTCAAAATGCACCATGTCCTCTGGGGCACGGCCCACCATGACAAAGAAATACCACCAGGTGAGTACTTGCCACTGGCTGGATCAGGGAAAATGGCCAGGTGGTCTCCCATCCACAGCTTCCCCCAGAGCCTGGCAACCACCCCTAGACTGAGCCAGCACCAAGAGGAGTCTTCCCGAAAGGGCACACTCTGCTGAGGTCTGGGTCAGAGGAGCAAAGGATCCCCCCAGAGCCCTGCCTAGTCACTCAGTTTCCCATCTCCCCACCCCCCCCCCATTCTTTCATGGGTCCCGAAGGACAGACAGCTTTCCTAAGGGCAGGGGGTGGGGGCCAGAACAGCAACAAATCAGAAATACAAATCCCACAGGCCTTGTCCAAGAACCTGGGAAATAATCCATCCAACCCACAACTCTCAGTCACACCATGGTAGCCAGAGTCCTCTCCCACTGCCTCCGCTCCCCACCCCCAGGAAAGGGGAGAGAAGAGGGCACCAAGGGACATCCTCGAGACCCCACATGGAGACACTCACTCCCCCAGGGACACTGGCCAGCACATGCTCCACACAGAAAACAGGACCTCCCTTGTCCACTTTTACCAAGGAGTAGGGAGCTGGCTGCAGTGGTCCTGCCCTAAAAAGGCTGCTCCTCACAGCTATGGGTCCCTCACTCTACTTAATATTGAAGCTCACACTTTTCCAAGGAAGCATTCCCATTCTCATTTTTAAACACAGGCTTTCTGTGTGCACATACAAGTCTTCCTGGCTCCACACCTGCTCCCTGCACCCTCCTGATCATAGCCACATGGGAGTGCAGACCACAGGCAGAGGCATCGCCCATTGCCTCTGCCGTTTGTAGGAAGGAAACTCCTGTCCTGCTCACTTGTGTTCTGCGGCAGCTGCTCAG